TCTTGTAGGATTGAAAAGGAATCACGAGGGCGAATGTTATATCGAAAATTAACTGACCTGTCGATTGGACAATGTCGGCGAGAAGGTGGACTTGTGCGGAGATGAAACAGCGTCTGGAGAAGAGGAGCGCGACGTTGACCTTGAGGAGGAATAGTCCGGAGACTTATCTGGGTCAGAAGGCCCGGAAGGGGGAGAAGTGCGTGAGGTCGAGGACGGCAGCACGGCGGGGGCGGCAGAGGGTGGCGGCATGGCGGAGGGGTCTTTGGAAGGAGAAGAGCGCGTTTTGGCCGGGGTGGGGTGTATCTGGACGATGTCGACGTCCCAGAGGACCCAATCCTGGGTGGCAGTCCGGTGGGGGACGTCGTGAGTGATGGAGTTGCGCCAGGGTGGGACGCCGCCGTTGGCACGGAGGAAGTGGCCGGAGTAGCTTTTGAGCTTGACCTGGAACCCGTCGCGGACGGGCTCCCACTCGAGGGAGGAATCGTTAAAGGAACCGGCAGCGGGAGCCTGAATGACCTTCTTGCCGGTGGCACCGAGGAGGAAGGGCTGGCTGGTAGCTGCGAGGAAGCGGCCGTGGCAGCTCCGGAGGCGGAGGGCGCGACCGCCATCGACGAACTCGACGTCCCAGCGGGCGGCGTGGTCGGAGCCGTAACGGCTCTGTATCACGCGCTCCTCGTCCTCCCCGGCCATCAGGTACTTGCCGTGGTGGCCCCGCAGGCGCACGGCCTTCGCCCGGTCGAACAACTCCATCAGCTCAATTCAAACACAGGAAAGGAGTGGTTGGGTTTGGAGGGAAGACGAAGGAGAAGAGAAGATAAGGGGTTTTTAAGAACGACGGAGAGGCAGAGGTTGGGCTTCTTTGGGACGGTGATTGACTTTGGAAGGCGCAGAGAAGACACGGCACCGAGGAAACGACAGTTATGGTTTACTGCACCATTCTTCGCTTGTTTCTCCTCGCTTTCCCTCGAAATGACCGTAGCTGCAATGCGTGTCACCTCCTGTTATACATATCTTTCTTATTATTAAGTATAATTTCATTTTATATAACTGTATAAAATTGTATAAAAGAGGGAAATAAATCTTTGACAGACTCGAATCATATCAATCGAACGGGTGTCCGTCCTATCACAGATTGCAATATCACTATTTTCTTGGAGCATCTCTAAGGTGATGTGGATCGCACCACAGAATTTACAGCCATCATCTCTGTTGTGTATTTCATTTTATTTGTTTGGTTTTAGAAATTATTTATGCGTTTCGAAATGTTCAACAATCAAATTAGAGGGTTTCTGAGAAATTCATGCCTTTAATTGCATATATTTATTTAGCCAACTGCGGCTGTTGCCTTCCGCTATCCGCAAATTAAATGTACTCGTTATTAGATTATATTATATTAAATTGTGTTCAAATAGAATGTTGTATTTAACGTCCGTAGCGTTGAAGCAAGCGGAGTTCGAGAACATCTAATTAAGCGCAATTACCTTCAGCGTACCTCAGTGGTTATTGGTGGGGGGAGGGTGGGCCCGATGACAGGGAAGGTAAATGCACAGAAGTCCTTACGGGTCCACGTTATTGAGTGCAGCCGCCGCGGCCCGCACGCCATAGCGACGAGACTTGCGACGGGGAAAGACGACGGACGGGTTTCCATGTTTGACCCGGCACCGCGTGGACCGAGTCGCGCGTGACTCGACCGTGTTTGAAGCCTAAGGGGCGGTCCTTCGCCGAGTCGTGCGCGTTCCGATGGCCGTAAGCATTACACGGATTTCTATTTTCTTTTTCTTTTGCTTTGTTCACATTATCCAGATTTAGATGAGTATAAACAATTTCATGGCTAAGTGAATAAAGAGTTCGATTATTTGTTAGTGTTTGTCCATTCTATAGTCGACTTAAGCTCGTGGATCAAAATTAATATTTAATTATGATACTAAAGTCGTGATTAGTTTGACCCGATCCTTATGATACTTATTCGCTAAACTCATTTATTATGTTACATATAATATGGTAAAGTATTTTAGTTCAGATTTTAATGTATGAGAAACTATTTTAGCAAAAGTGATCAAAGATTCAAATAATATGAGATTAACATGGAGAGGATTTAATTCTCACAACCAATAAAAGAATACCTATTTCAATTTATTTAACTTAATCTTCTTCTTCTCTTGCACATTTCCTTTTACGTACATACTCATTCCTTGATACTCTCTCTCCACCCTATTATGACTTTCTCATGCTTCCCTTTCGACTTTGTGCGATTGTTCGCCTCTCTCTCTCTCTCTCTCTCTCTCTCTTTATATTTATTTATATATATATATATAATGCATTTTTTTATAACAATAAATAATTCTCTCTAGTCTTTTCTAAATAACTCTCTCCTTTAATCCCAACAGATAGCAGGCGCCGCCCCATCCGCTCGAGAGAGACAGGGGCGCCTCATCCCACTAGCCGCGCCGCCATCTCCACCTCTTTCCACCGGCGCCTCCACGCCCAGCCGTCGTCGGGGAGCCGCCTGGACGAAGCGGCATCAGGGCCCCCTCGAGTCCCGGTCCGTCGTCCGCTTCTGGAGTCCCGACACCATCAAGTTCCTCCAGGGCCTCCTCACCAACGACGTCCACCCACTTGATCCCCAACATCCCGACACCGAATCTCAACCACCATTCCTCACCGCCGCCGTCGCCTCCAAGATCCCCAAGGAGAAGAAGAAGGAGCAGACTCTCTGCCAGCGCCGCTGGCCGCCTATCCTCTTCCTCCTCCAAGGGTCTCACCTCCAACGCCCGCCTCCCCTTGGGTCGAGCAGCTGCGACTGCGACCAGTCAAGAGCTTGGCGGACATCTTCTCCGCGTGGTCTTGTCCTCTGCCATTTGCACCGGTTGCAGCCAACCCTTCTCTGTGTTCTCTGAACTGCACTCTAAACTGGAACCACTTCCACGCCACTTGCTGTCGATCGCTGCCACACAAAGTGCTGCCAAACTCATCCTTCAACTAAGACCTCATTTGCTAATGACCCACCTCAGGTAACACTGATCCTTGTCATCCCCGTAGACTTCTACTTGCTCCTATTGATTGCTTTCGTGTATTGATATATATCTTCCATAGTTATATGCTCCGGTTATTATTCCTATAGGGAATCATATTTCCCTACGGTCTTATCTCCGTAAATGTAACAACCCTCATCCCCTTCAAATTATCTAAATTATGCATTCTGACATATTTAATTCTCTAATCTCTTATTTGATTATAATTTTTTAGGTTATATCGATGACTCTTTTCGTTGTCCACCGAGTACTCAATGACGAAACATTTTAAATAAGAGAAATTCTGACACTAAAAAGAAAAGAATGGAAGCATCGAAATTATTATCTCTTTCCCAATCAACACGACATGATAATAATTTTTCTCATCACTTTTCAAACCTTTCTACTCCTTTTCTGACATCATCATATGTGATGGGCTTTTCTCTTCTCTCTCAGTTTGCATGAGCCAATTTTGCAATCTCCAATCAAGAATACAATATTGTCCTAATAAGTTATTGCATCTCACCATCAGCTTCATCCCTTATAGCAGAGATATGGGTAATCAAAGATCTCCAAATAATCTCTCGAGAATATATCATTTTCCTACCGATCCTGTCGGACTTAAAACAATTTATGCACTACTTACATAACTCAACAAAATTTCATAGACCTTCGAAAAAATTTAACATGCAACGTTTTTAACGGAACAATATTCCAAAACAATACACCTCCGTCGCTCACAAACTAGCAAATTTGGCTAGAATAAATGTTGCTAACCTTTTTTTGGAGAGGCAATTTGCCTCTTACTATTCTGTATGAACTCTTTAATCTAAGTTAAGATATATTTTTTTCATAAAAGAAAAAAATAAATGATGAGGAGATGAAAGGAGTTTTTTATTATACCCCATAATTTCTATTGATTTTTCATAAAACTTCAATTTTTAAATCGATTAAAATAAAACATCGAAAACAAAATAGGATGTTTGTTACTAATGCATAAACGTTTAGAATACTCAATTTCACTTATTATAGAAAATATTTAGCTAACTCTGGCAGCAAATATAACAAAATACCAATAATATTTGAAAGAATATAATTATGAACATAAAACAAAATTTGTTACCAACATATTTGAGGGCGCACATGTCTTCTTCATATTTTTCCCATCATGTTATGCTAACAAATATAAATCATATCATCATTTCCATATAACAAAAGTCTCAATTCAATATTCCTCATACTTGGAATCTGTGTAGAGTTTGAAATTTCTTTACCCACAAAATCCACTTTGGTCTCTAATAACCAAAGGGGTCTAAGAAGATATGAGTCTCACAAGAGGAAACTGAGTATCTGCCTTGTTTTGCATACTAGACAAAAAAAAACTCCCAACAAGTTGGACAATAATATCCTAAGAAATAGAACATGGTTAGTTTAAAAAATCAGATATTGATAAAAAAAGTTTATCGATTTCATGATCTAATACATACTTGTCTCACACTAATATCATCGAGTTATATCATTTGTTCTTAAGTTGTAACTCAAATGATATAAATCCTCTAAATCTATCATCTTTAGATGAAAAAATGGTGATTAAAATTTAAATTCCCTTTTAGAAGGACCCATAACAAAAATATATGCTTAGTTCTAATAAATCAGAAAACAGTATAAATCTCAAATAATTCAAAATATCTACTATTAAAAAAATTTAATCCCAAATATTAGGGTTCTATTTCACGCCATTCTTTCGAATGCCTTACCTACAAATGGCCCCTAAAAGCGAATCCATTTATTTTCTCCGGCTATTCTTCCAAGAAAAGAGAGTGGGAGGTCAAAAAATAAAAAGTGGGGGGGAATAAGTAGAGAGACCGGCATTGCCTACAGCACGACAGCATCTGCTTTTCCATACGCGGAGGAATAAATTCGTTTCCTTAAGAAATCTTATACTCTTTTCCCGGCTTCTCTCTCCCTCTATAAATTACCATCTCCGTCACCAACATCCATCCCCAATCTCTTCCGGTGGCAGCCACTCACTCCATCATTCTTTTCACGATCACTTCCTTCCACCACCATGAATGACCCGAGGTATGCCTACCCGTACCCTGCTCAAGGTAAGCTAACACTCCCATCAGATTTCTGCATATACTGTTCCAGTTTCTTAGTGTTTTGATTGTTGGGTTGGGATATAAGGTTATTATCAGGGGCCGCCAGTGATGGCACCACCTCAGTATGCAGCTCCACCACCAAGAAGAGAGCCGGGTTTTCTCGAAGGATGGTAAGCACCTTCTTCCTTTCTTTTCTACCATACACATCTTTCATCTAATCTTTCTGATGTTCAATTTCATTTCGGTGCAGCCTCGCTGCTCTGTGCTGTTGCTGTCTGATAGACGAGTGCTGCTGCGATCCATCCGTCATATGCGTCGGCTGAATACCTTCTTTCGATAGCATATCCATGCATCTCATCATGTGAACATTTGCAGCTCTAATAACATATCCATATCATGATGCTGTTGTTGTCGTTGTTGTTGTTGTTGGAATCTCTGCTCCAAGCTTTTCGTGTGTAATCGAAGCAACGAGACACTTTGGAAGACCAAAAATTTCCGGGTAATGATCTCCACTCACATTAAATAAACCAAACCGCGCAGAACTATTTGCAGAGGAGAAAATTTAGAATCAGATTTGGGACACATCAAACTGCTTTTCCTTTCTCCAGCAGCAAGAATACAGGCAGAATATAGTCAGCAAAAAATTAGTTTTTTTTTTTTGAAAAAAATAAAGAATTTTATTGATGAAAGAAAATAATCCTGCATCAACACGAATCAAAAAAACCAAATCCAGTGCTAATGAATTCCTTTAAAGATCAAAAAGTTTGCTGACCCTAACATGATTGAATAGCTAATTAACAACACGATTTTCTTCTCAAAATACATACTTTCTTTTACAATCATAGCAAATATTAATTGGAACATATCTCTAATAATATTCAAAATTCTTGAAGCCTATTCTGTGTTCGTCAAGAGATTAACTACTGCCTATGTGATGGTCTTTAGAGTCAAAGGAACAATCAACTAGTGAAATGAAGAAGGAAAGCAGTGTCTCTACTCACTTCTATATCATGTGCAAGATAGATTCAATTAAAAAGTCTGACTTTTGAGTTGAGGGGTACTCATGCTTATTGGAGTCTCAAGAAATAGGTGAGTTTAAAGAGTTTCACAGTGAGGTTCTGCAATCTATATGGGTTGCAGAGGGAGATTCTTTACTTGTTAACTTGTATCATTCTATATTTTTTATCAAATGCACTTATTCTTCAAGAGTATATGATAACTTCTAAAGAGAATACGAAAGACAGAATAGAAATATTGATGAGGAAGTCGGATTTGAAACAGAAACAAAAGTGAAGTTACGGAAAGAAAAAGTAGAGATGACATGAGGGAGAATATATGCTCATACACTTGCAACGAGATGTTTTGCTTTAATTAATGGTAATAAATATGCTCATATATTTAACAGATAGAGTTGATAACTAAGTAGCTAGTGATGCCCGAGTGAAAAACAAAAGACTTCGGATTTGAACGATGCAATTTCAATCATAAACTTTTTGGTCAAATTCAGTAACACTTTCGAACATGATGCTATTCTGGATATACTTCAAATCTCTATCTCGTACATAAATATTCCAATAGTTTGATCTTTTTCACTAAGCAAAATAATAAAAAGTCATACTAAAAAATTATTCATAATTTTTTCATATCACATGAAAAACTAATTATAACAGTGCGAGTGATACCTTCCGAACGAGTTTGACTCTTCTTAAGATTTTATTCATTTAATTCAATATAACTTCTTATAAGAATCGTGGAAAATGTTTGTGATTGTGCTAATCCATCCAACCGACCTCTCATTTTTCTAAAAAATCTTTTCATTTGTTTCGCTTAACATATACCAAATTTGATAAAGCCTGCATTTGTATCAACAGTGTATGATTTATGTGCATTAGGTGATTGTTATGAAGGGCTATCGATTCAATCTATCCGATAAAAGTAGATGTGATCTGTCATCACATATCACATGATCCCAGGAATTTAGGAATTTGAGAAAAAGCAGAGAACAACAAATAATAAAAGTTGATAAATATCAGTAATAAAGAACACAGGAAACTTACATGGTTCGACGGAGACGAGAAGAATTCTACTAATAATCTCTCACCCACCAAACCTAATCCCCAAATGCACCCACAATATAACTCAAAAAGAGTTTTTGGTATGTTTTCAATGAGCGAGAAAATATCTTTATTTATTTATCGACTACAAGGAGGGCTACTATTTATAAAAGTTCAGATGTGGGACTAAAATTTCAACTTAGGCTCCCGTAAGAAAACGGATGAATCTGTCTGTTTCCATCACAATGTTTGTCGTGTAGCTATTTATGGACATTTCCAGTGTCGTTCTTCGGAAAAGTCAACTCTAGTGATCGATATGCATATTTCCATCCCACGATCTTGAAGCTTTGGTAAACCGAGTTGCTGTGAAAATAGTATCCATTTGGATTCATTGAGGTACGATCCGTGTATCGGAATCTCATCCCCTGCTTGGCAATCAACCTTTTTCAGACTCACATGAACTAAGCACAAAAGCTTAGCTTTCTTGCCGTCAGCCAAGAAAGGCGGCTACAATCCGGTGTGCTGTCTTCGCCTAGTTGATACCGTAATGGATCCATTTGTCTCTTCATTAGCTCATCTTAGTGGCATGAGTCAAACACGGAGCCGGCAGAGGAAGTCCTGCTCTAAGAAGAAGAGTCTGCACGGGTAGAAGACGAGGTTCGTCTTTCCGGAGTCTGTCAAGAACTAACCATCAATTCTTTTCTTTCTTTGTTGAAGCGATTTAAATAAGATTCAATGGGTATGGAAATAATAGGATTGGGTTTGGGTCGGATATTGACAGAGCGCTGGCAGCTACCAATCATCAGCAGAGATTTGGTTGTCGGAAGATATGCATAACGAGATTACGACAAAGAAAAAACAAATCTGATGACTTTGTTGTCCGTCTTGCAAACGCAAGATGCACGTTTCGACTTTTTTAAATCTGACTTTGGGACCATTATGAGGCCTGTTGAAACGCATCAGCTCAGAGTTTTGCTGAAAGGGAGTGATCACTGCCACCCATCCAATCGCAGCTGATGCTGCCAAATCTTTAAACTGTAATGCAAAGTCAAAGTCCATCCCTTGAATGTTCCATCGGCCACCAAGAAGCATGTGGTGTGTTTGGTCTCTCTATTTATATTTTATTTTGCGGGGTTGTACTCGGATCGGGTCATGGCTGATTGATCAGAGATAGATGGATGGCTTCTTCATCTGCCCTGTGGAACTTAATGTAAAGCCTCCTCCCTCTTTCCTTGTCTTTGGATCAGAGATAGGAGTCAAAGCAGGCTTCCCTACCAGCTGAGATGAGGCCGCTGGCCATGGCTTCTCTGCCTATTTTCCTCCTTCTCTTCCTCCTCCCTCACTGTCTTGCCCTCCAACTGTGCACCAATTCAAGTAAGTGTCGAATCGCCGCCGCCTCTTTCTATTTTTCTCTTGCAGGTTTGTTTTAGACTGATATGATGTCCCTTTTTCTGCTGCCCTTTTTTTGGTCAGTGGCGCCTGTGACCCTAAAGGCTCCTCTATCCTTCTGTGCTTACAATAGTAGCAGCTGCTGCAACTCGACCGATGATGCCGCAATCCAGAAGCAGTTCCAGTCCATGAACATATCTGACTCGACCTGCGCTGCCGTCATGAAATCCATCCTCTGCGCGGTGAACTTTTAGCCCCCAATTCTAACTAGCGTTCTTCAGTTTGGACTGTCTTCTCTTTAATCTAATTGTGCTGTGGCTGACCAAGCTTAGAATCTCTGAGAAACTATTTGCTCTGCTTCTATAGACACCTATTATGATTTAGGGGCTTCATACCGAGTAAATGCAGATCTTGTGTTTGTAGGTTGGTAAATGGTGGTATGGTTTGTGCTGGTAAAGATCACTGGTCTTAAGTCGGGAACTAATTGAATCGCAGTTGAACAGAAAAAAAAAAAAAATCACAGATCTCATTGATGATGATTCTTCAAATTAACTTGTCAGCCACATCATAAAAGCTTTATCAGTAAAATGAACATCATTATTATGTGGAATTAAGTTTCTCTGGTATATATCAGCTGGAGTTAGCCCTGGAGTAAGTGTTTAGATTAAGCATACTGACACATGAATATTACTTTTCTTTCAAAGTCATGCCAGTAATTTACAAGCTTTAAAATTGCTTTTTAAATATTGGAATTTTTCACCCCTCTTTCTTAGGTTCTTCCTCTCTTTTCTCACAGGTTTGAACTATTTCTCTTTTGGTTCATCTTTGCTGCTTACTTTTACATTTTAAATCCTCAATCCATGCAAGAAATTTCTGGAGCAATTATTAACTCTTTCACTTTTTTATGCTTGATGTGGTGTATCTTTTTGAGATCAAGATGGATGCAGATATTGCTAAATGCCACTTGATGTATCTTTCAGCTTTATTTATATCAATCTGATTTTATATAATGTGTGTATTCTTATACCCTGTATGTCAATATGTTCTTATCCTGAATAATTGTGTCTCACATCATCAATATGTTGTTCCATGCATTTAAAACATGTTTCTTGACATGTGGTCATGTTGCCCTTGATCTTGCAGAAGTGTGATCCATTTTCAGCCGATTTGTTCAATACTGAACCAACGCTTCGAACAGTTCCATACCTCTGCAACTCTACAAGCTCAGCAAGCTCTACTCCATCCAAGGACTCCACCAAAGACTTCTGTAAAGAAGTTTGGGATGCTTGCAAAGATATTTCAATAAAGAATTCTCCATTTGCTGGACTACCAGTTTCTTCATCCAAACTTACTGATATCTGGCAATCTGAAACGGACTTTTGTCGAGCATTTGGAGGGTCATCTAGTGATAATACACTATGTTTCAATGGCAACTCAGCTTCGTTTAATGAAAGCATAGATTCAACTACCCCCAAAGGTCTGTGTCTTGAGAGAATTGGCAATGGATCTTACCTTAACATGGCTGCTCACCCTGATGGATCTAATCGTGTCTTCTTGTCAAACCAAGCTGGTAAAATATGGTTGGCAACTGTTCCAGAACATGGATCAGGAGGAACATTGGAACTTGATGAGTCAAACCCATTTCTTGATTTGACTGATGAAGTTCATTATGACACTGAATTTGGTTTAATGGGTTTGGCATTTCACCCAAACTTTGCAACAAATGGACGTTTTTTTGTTTCGTACAACTGTGATAAGATTGAATCAGCAAGTTGTTCCGGAAGATGCTCATGTAATTCTGATGTAGGTTGTGATCCTTCAAAGCTTGGTAATGATAATGGTGCCCAGCCATGCCAATATCAAACTGTTGTGGCAGAATTTACTGCTAATGGTTCCTCATCAACACCCTCCACAGTATATTCTTTAATCTCTTTCAGTTGAATTTATTTTCTATATTATTTATCCAG